AATTTTTTGGTTAATTAAGAAATAAATTAAAAACGCTTTTTAAAAATTAAAAATTACCATAATATGTTGTGGCCATCCTGTCGGATAGGATCTAACTCAAGCAGCCCTTCTTTGCCTGGAAGGGCCGTAATATCCTCCACCGTATACACCGCAAATGGTGCGTTTGGCGGCACCAGCAAATCGGGATGAACCCCGGCGACCGGTGGAGGAGGAGGTGGAGGAGGAGGAGGTGGTGAATTAGACCGGAGCACCGTAGAAACTACCTGAGTCTCGGGAACAACGTCATTATCCGGAATTGAAGAACCGGGAGCTGACGAAGATGATGCGCCTATGTGAGGACCAGGCTGACGACCGAAAATATCTCTGTAATGACTCCTCTGAAGAGGCCTCTTAGCCGCCGCCCTCTCAAGCTTGCTCTTTCTAGTCATCTAAATTTTTTAAAAAAATTAAAACATTAATATACTAGTATCTTTTCTAAAAATGGTTAAAAATTAAATTAACCTAATCTAAATTCCCTAAACTAACCACATAATCTAAATTACCTAAACTAACCACCTAATCTAAATTCCCTAATCTAATCACCTAACTAGGAAATAGAGAGAACCTTAAGAGGATTCAGAAAGAAGCTTATTACAAATGAGAGAAATCGGATGGCTCGAGTTTATATAGGGAAATTTGTTTCCTCGTAAGGTCCTAATAATTTTACGAGGAAATAGCTATGCCCGCGTTTAGGGTTTCGAGGCTTTTACGAGGAAATAGCTATGTCCGCGTTTTTGTTTCCTCGTAAAGTCCTAGTAATAGTGTTACTAGGACTTTACGAGGAAACATCCTTTACGAGGAAACAGTTATGCTCGCGTTTTTTGTTACTAGGGTTTTATGAGGAAAGGGTTTGTAAATCCTTAAACTTGAAACCCCTAACCCCAAACCACAACTTCCTTAACTTATAACCTCTTCTACAACCAAACTCCTAACCTCTTCTACACATAAACCCCAAATGCAAATTAATTTTGTGATTAAACAAAATTAAAACATACATAATTCAAATTCATTTTTGTGATTAAACAAACTTATAAACATACATACTTCATTCGGATATATTCTCGTAATCTGTTGAAACATCATCATTTTCGTAAAACTCATCCTCTACACCTTCGTCCGTCGAGTGATCAGGAACATCTTCGTATTCACAATTATGCGGATCAATGAGTAGGATGTCATCAATTTCTGTTTCAGGTTCCTCGATCTCATTGGTGTTTTCTTCTTATAATGGTGGTTCTTCTCCAGCGATTATTCGTCTTCAAGGTGTAACTTTGATAACAGCTAACCAGTTTATTCGTGAGGTAGTAATCCGAGGGTATGGAATGAAGCAAACTTGATCTGCTTGGGAAGCTAATATGAAAGGCTCGAATTTGTTGTACCTGCAAAAATAAATACAACATAGAAATTAATTAATACTGGAAACGTGGATGTAAAAAAAAAAAAATTTGTTGTACATTCGTCCACCATTGACATCAATTACAGCGTTCTTGTTAATCTGAACATCTCTGTTAACGACGGGGTCGTACCAGTCACACTTGAAGATAACGCATTTCAAACTCATACCTAGGAATTGAACTTCATAAATCTCCTGCAAGATCCCGTAGAAATCTGTTTCGCCTTTCGTACATATTCCATAATTACTCGTCGTCCGGTGTCTACCATAGTCATAGGTATGAAAAATATAGCCTCGGGTGAAATACATCGATGATGCAGTGACCTTTGCAACTGGACCTTGAAGTAATTCATGAAACCATGCGGGATACTCAGGATCGTCGTAATCAACCTGCAAAAAAGTAATAGAACTAGATATTAGACTTACTTTGTGGTAATGTATGCATAAAATTTAAGCTATAATAAATACTTGTTTCCTCAACCACTTGATAAAGTGTTGATCTTTTCTTTTGTCTAACTTAGTTGTCGATATATCATGTATTGCTTCTTCGACTTGAGTCACAAATTGGCTATAAAATCATATATGTTATGTTATTTAATATTGAAAAATAAAATATATATATATATATATATATATATATATATAAGTGTGTATGTTTATATATTTACCTTTCAAAATAACCAATCAATGGATGCTCGCAATTAAGAAGAATATAAAGGTGTGCACTATGGACGTCTTCATCACTCGACCACCAAACCTCTTTCAATTTCCCATCCAATCGCCCAATTTGCCAAAAGATGTCTGGAACATCATCTTCCATATATGTCGGTACGACACCACCATCATCATATCTTCTTGGAGATTGTTTCCTTGTACGTACTTTCGGTGTAAAGTAGTACGATGTGAAATGTGATGTTTGTTCCGTCAAACTTCCCGCAACAATAGAACCTTCAACTCTTGCTAGGTTTTTGGCTTTTCCTTTCAAACTTTTCATGGCCCTTTCATACTGATACATCCATCCATAATGCACAGGTCCACGAAGTAATGCCTCATACGGGAGGTGGACAACTAGGTGTTCCATGAGGTCAAAAAAAGTAGGCGGAAATATTTTCTCCGAGTTGCAGATTAAGATGGGGATGTTTCATGAAGTTGTTGGACAACTTCCTCTTTAAGAGTGCGAGTGCTCAGATCCCTAAAAAATGCTCCAATTCCTTATATATTACAAAACTATACACATTAGTATATATATATATATAAAGAAATAAATTAATCTTTGCGTCGTATTATATTAATTACCTGAAAGTGCTTCATGTACTTTTGCCGGTAATAGCTCCGCAAATGCAAAGGGAAATAGTCGCTGCATAAAGACATGACAATCATGGCTCTTCATCCCGGAGAACTTTTGCCCTTTCTCAACACATCTTGAGAGATTTGAAACATACCCATCAGGGAACTTCACTTCTGAATCCACCCAGTTGAACAACGCATACTTTTTTTTCTGATGACAGTTTGAATATCAGAACTGGAACTTGCACATTGCTTTTTATATGTAGCTCACTCCTTAAGCATATATCGGGTAAGTCCAACCTCGATTTTACGTTGTCTTTCGTCTTCCCTGGGACATTCAATATATTGTTCACAATGTTCTCAAAAAAGTTCTTCTTTATATGCATCACATCGAGGCTGTGGCACAAAAGAAGATCTTTCCAATATGGTAATTTCCAAAATATACTCTTTTTGTGCCAATTGTGCTGAACACCATAAGAATCAGACATATTACTGGGAACATGCCAATTCTTACCACGAGGACTGTTTCTAAAGCACCGTAGTAATCGATTTGCGCTTCGATTTGTTCTTCATGGAGGAGGAGTGTCTCTGACGACCCTTTTGTGCCTGAACAATGTATTGTTTCTTCGGTATGAGTGGTGAACGGGAATAAATCGATGGTGACAATCGAACTAACTAGTCTTCCTACCATTCTTCAACTGAAACGCATCTGTCATTCCATTACAATATGGACAAGCTAATCTCCCATGTGTAGTCCACCCAGACAACATCCCATATGCAGGAATGTCAATTAGACAGACATTCTCTACAACCACTGTAAATTGGCTCATTCGCAGCTTCCAACATTTCATAAAACTTTTTTGCATCTAAGTTAGGTTCTTCAACTTCATAATCATCATGAGTTACAAATGCATCACCTACCATATCATGAACCGTATCACAATCACCATTTGTTGCTCTTGGTGATGATAGCTATTTTCATTACGTAAATGATCAACCAGTTCAACCTGAAAATTGATATTACTACTACTACCTTCATTCATACAACTAGCATCTTCTCCATGTTGATACCAAATATAATAATATGGCATGAAACCTCTATTTATTAAATGCTTCCAAACATTTTCATGAGAGCCTAATTTTGTATTGCAGCATTTCCTACAAGGACAGAACATCTTACCACTTTCCTGTGTGAGTGGTGTAGAATCAGCTTGATGCATAAACGTCTCCAACCCTTCGAGAAATTCTTTTGTCACTCTCTCGTTATTATCTCTGTGTGAATACATCCACTTCCGTAACTCGAAAATATTTCCCGAACCGGACATTTTTTTTGTCTTTGATCAAGCTTAAAGCTGATTTTTTTTTGGTGTTTTTGAAATGAATCACAAATGGTGGTACGTATAGAAATTTTTGAATCTGAGCATTTACTAGGAAATTGCTAGGAAAAGTAGGTACAAAACACGTTTTAGATTTAAATTAGATATTTTCTATCAAGTTCCTCGCTAATTTGAAGTAAAAGATCATTTCCTTCTAATTTCGTAGTAAAGATTTACTAGGGCTTTACGAGGAAAGTATTTGCTACGAGCTTATAAGGAAATGATCTTTTGCCACGTAGTTTCCTTGTAAGTTTACTACGGTCTTACGAGGAAAACGTAGGAAAACGTTTTCTCGCAACTTTACGAGGAAACTTGTTTTCCTCGTAAAACCGAAGTAAGGTCGTAGTAAGTTACGAGGAATTATTTTCCTAGTAAAATTTCCTAGTAAAATCTTAGTTTTCTTGTAGTGTCATATGCTGCGGGTCTCTTTTAGATCTTAGATATCTATAACAAGCTGGATATGATACATATCCGAAAATTACAAGTATTGTACATATGTTCTAATTATAGATTCAAATCGATTCAGACCTGAAAAAGTGATCCAAATCCAAATAAATAATTTCTAAATATATGTTCACATGGATGCGAAGTCACTGGTTTGGTTTACAGAGTCTATATGAGTTTGTGTATGTTGTTGACAAAAAAAAAATTCTAAATACATACTTGGATATAAATGTATAGGTCCTGAAATACTGACATGGATCAGAATCCAGCTTGAATACCAGAATCAAGTTCTGTGACTATGTCCCATGTTGCTGGCTTTGAATGTTGAACGGTTAACTTTTTTGCTGGGTCAATTAAACGAATTGAACATCGCGTATACCGGACCGGATTCCCAAAACCAAAGAAGCGGAAGAACCGGTCGAGTCCGGTTTTAAGAACACAGAGGAAACGCTTCTTCATTCACTTGTCCGCCCTCCCTGATCTCTGTTTTGCGATCGTCAGCTCTCAAATCTTGGAGAGCTGTATGTGATTAGCTTCGATCTCTGATTCTGATTCTCCTTTCGAACTCTCTTCTTCTCCCTCAAGTCGCCCAGAGGTATGTAAATTTCATGGTTTGATTGCATAGATACTTCGGCCGATTTCTAGGCGGCGAATTCCCAAAATAAACATTTAGTAAAATGCCTGATTAAGCAACTAATCCATTGAATTCAGTTAATCTGATTTAGGTTGTACAGTTTGTGTTGGATTAGGGTTTCATTGTGTAAACTGTAATCAAATCTCATTTAGTTGTAAAAGAAGAGGAAAACAAGTAGAAGATGTTCCAAAGTAATTTGGTTTTCATCTCACAGAAAACTTGATGCACTTTAATATCATCAAGAATGGAGAATTTTAAATACGGAGTTTGGTATCAAATCAAGAAGATAGTGTAAAACTATATAGTTTCGCTATATGTGTGACTGAAGTTAATGGATTCCTCTATCTATCTTTCTCTTACTGTAACAAATTGCATAGTTCATTAGAAAAACCTGGTTATAGCTTTATGATGTGTTATGTCTTAAACTCTTTACTTTCCCTTGCAGTCATTGGCTGGCTATACACAAAGATGACAACAATCGAAACCGGTCCAAAAACTCAAAAACCATCTCCTTCTACTCTCAAGCAGCCTTCATCATCATCGTTTAAAAGGTGGGGAAGGAGACACCCTTTTGTTAGATACGGACTTCCCATGATCTCTCTCACTGTTTTTGGAGCCCTTGGACTAAGCCAACTCCTTCAAGGCAGGTCCGTTTTTCCGTTTTTTTTCTTGACTCTATCAGGGAATCTGTTTAGAGTTATTTCTCCACATAATGGGTTTTATATGGTTACTTCAGTAAGGATATCGCAAAAGTGAAAGACGACCAGGAATGGGAGATTATTGAGACGAGAAAGGCTCTTTCTAGAACAGGACCTGTTGATGCTTATAAACCCAAAAACACTTCCATCGAAGACGAGCTCAAGGTTGGTTACTTTTGATTTAACGCATTAAAAAAAAAAAAAGCTTTGATGAAGAACACTTTAAATGTTGACAGGCTTTTGTTTACTCACTGTGCAGGCTATGCATGAGAAGGTGGACATAAATTCCTACGAGTACAAGAAAATTCCAAAGCTAAACGAAGGCAAGTCCACTTAATGTCAAGTCTTTTCTTAGATGTGTTAGCTTTTTAAAGACCTCTTCAGATAAACTCTTCTGTTAGTTTTGACCTTCCTAAACCATTACCAGAGATGGGTTAATAATAATACATGTGTTGATCTACAACGACCAAATAACCACTAGTTCTCTGCATATAGGATTCTTTTTATTCATGCAATGCAAAGAAGATCAAGATCATTTCCTATTCTATATACAAACTGCTTTTCTAACACTTAATTGTGAATTCATATTGTTTTAAGACAAGTTTTTGTATAAGCTCGTCCATCTTTATACTGAACATATCAAAGATGACATTACACTTTTTTAGTATTTGACATGTTTAGTGGATCTATATACCATGATATGATAGGTTATGCCGGTTCATGTACCATGGTATAATAGCATGTTATCCTCTTAAATCTCATATCCTTTTTTTTATCTCGTGCCAATCATAGAAAACACATTGTCTTCAACCTCAAATTGGCCGTCTTCAATCTTGTATTAGTATTCATGTGCCTAACATTAAGCATTACATCATATTTAGAAGAATTATTATATGCGTTGGATCGCCATCTCTATTTTTAATTTCTTCAACTCCATCTCGACATGTCGTCGAAAGAAAGATATACAAATCCAAGTCTCCATAAATTATTTTTCATCCAATTGATCAAATTCATCACTTCGCTGTTTTTTAAGTGTTTTGATGTTATAAAACTTTGCTTATATGTTTCTTAAGTGTTCCAGAAATATAATATTATGAAACTTTGCTTCTCTATTTGTTAATTTGGTCGACTCTAGGCAACGGTTTGGTAAACTTAAAAATGGTTTATTACACTTAAAAATGGTTTATTACAAAGATGCTAGGTTGATGGGTCAACCATTAATCCATTTAATTTAATGGGTTGGGTTGACCCATGACCCATTAATAGTCAATCTATTAGGTTATGAGTTGGATTGACCCATTTGACCAATTTTGACATCTCTATTAATATGTTCTGTCTTTGTTAACAAATTTTTTTTTCCCTCAAGATTAAATATATTAAAAAGATTAAAACCCAACAAATCACATAACCCAACATAAACCGGACTCAACATAACCACCTAAATGAGTCTCATGCCCAACTTATGAAAATTCTAGCATCAAAGAGCAAAGAACGCCGACGACCGCCACACAGAACGGAAAAAGAAAGGACGAGGGCCGTCGCGTCACCACTACTTCTCGCTACCACCAGCGAGCCAAACCTTTGTTCACTGGACCACACCAGAGCTTCAAAACTCCGCACATCTTCACCACAACCACTTACAAACTCATGGGTACCAAGATCGGAGAGAATCAATCGTCGTGGCGAGGTCTCATCCATCGGTTTACAGTACAAAACCATCCAAGAGAAAGCATAACACACAGCAAACACCAATATTGTTGGAGAGCTTCATCGTCCTCCGACGAGATCTCATCCAACACATCCAACCGAAACCACGGAAAACCAAAACGAAAACAAAAGAAATAAACTACATCTTAAAACAAGTCTAGGAAACAAAAGCCAAGAACGCAAGACAAGGGACGCCTTCACCCCCTAGAAACAAGATCGGCGATGGAGCTTTGAGAGCCTCCACCTCTTGGAGTCAAAGCCGGCGACGCGGAGCTAAAGGAGCCTCCACACCCCAGAAACTTAAGTCGACCGTTCACATTCATAGAACATGTGCTACGAGGAAAACCAAAGTCCATTGGCCACCGTAAGGAAGATGCACTGACGGAACCAAGAAGAAACAAAAGATTAACAAACAGGAAAACTGATAATATATCTAACAAACAAATCCCAACTGACGACGTGTCTGTGGAAGCCCACCGTCGTTGGCCAGAAAACTTGAATGAGATCTACTTTCTCTTTCTTCTCTCTCTTGGGATTGGTGAATCTACTAATCTTTTGAACTCAAATCAGTCTTTGTTAACAAACTTTCTATAGATTTTTATTTGTGCACCACAAAACTTTCTATAGATTAAAAGTGAAATTTGACAAAAAAATAAATATTAAAAGTGAAATTATTGTTGCACCAATGCCATATAAAGAAAACTCATTTCCAAAAACATGTCATCAAAAACTAATGCCACAAAACTCTTTGCAAAACTATCACCCAAACCAAGTAAAAGAATTTGGACGTAAGTAGGCTCCATAAAAATACCATGCTATGAAAGCCCAAACTAGATAGGGTTAATATAAGAAAGCAATTAGTATCACATCTCCTTCCCAACTGTCATCAATGGGGAGAAAATAACAACAATGCATCCACTATTACACACAAACCGATGTAGAACTGCTACTGCAGTATGGGATCTTTCCAAGGCAATAAATTTATCACTGGAAACTTAGAAAATAGAGATAAAAGAGGTCAAATCACACAGGAATAAAACCGCATACACCTTGAAATTTTGACTACTTCTCAACCAGTACGCTAAGTGAAAGAAACTTTGGACATCTACCATCACATAGACCAAAACAGTCGCAGGGAACAACGCTTCATAATACCAACCAGAAATTATATAACTTCTTATGACAAACCCAACTAACAATCACTCACAAATATGAGATATTTGAGGACAGTAGTTTGTAGGGCAAAAATAGAACCTAGTAACGTAAGAATGGGCTGGAAAAAACTCGTAAATGAGACTGCATACTGTAGTAAGTGAGCCAGTAAAATACTGATATGCGAGCACCAACAAACCTATGAGAGTTATTGAACGATCAGACAAACGAGTCTATGGAGCTGAAGATATGAAAGACCAGTAGAGGGAAAGGATAAATCTGGTGAGTCGGGAAGGCCTGAAGGGTCATAAGCTTTAGGAATAGAGCTCACAACTAGTAGTTCTAGAAGGGATTTATTAGGGAATATACGATACTTCCCAATTCTGTTGTGATAATTTCATATATATTTAGGAAATATCTAATGTAGGTGTAGGATATTTATCAATTCTCTGTTGAGTCTTTTGCATATATACATTGTCTTGAACATTCTTGTTCAATAAGAAAGTCTATTCAAAATATCTTCTCTAAATTTACATGGTATCAGAGCAGAAATTTTCTGAGACCTAAATTTTTTTTTTTGTGTTGCGTCAAGGTTTTCAAGTTCAAGACCTTTGAAGGTTGCTTGTGGTGGTGAATTCGAAGTTCGAGTTCAAAGAAGTCAAGATGGTAGAAGGTAATGAAGATTCAGTTCTAGCCAAAAGCTCGACTTCGCTTGAGAAAGGAGTTGGTGTGTCTACTCCGTATTCTCTCCATGCTTCTCACAATCCATGAGCAATGATTACGTCGGTGACGTTAACTGGAGAGAGTTACAATAAGGGGTCAAGTGAGATGACTAATGCTCTTCGAGAAAAACGGAAGTTAGGGTTTGTTGAAGGTACCATACCGAAGCCGCTAGCAAGCGATCCAAACCTTGAGCTCTGGCTGTCTGTTAACTCTTTGATAGTCGGGAGGATTCGTACCTCGATCGAACCACGGGTTCCCTCAACTGTCACATTTGTTCAAGACTCACACAAGTTGTCGGAAAATCTCAGGAAGCGTTTCTTAGTTGGGAACAACGTCCGTGTTCATCACTTGAAAGAACAGTTGGTGGTGTGTCGACAAGATGGTTTGTCAGTTGTTGAGTATTATGGTCGTTTGTCAAAGATTTGGGAGGAGCTTGACATGTACAAGCCGCTTCCATCGTGTACGTGTTCTGCAGTTGCAGAGTTTAAAAATATAGAGAAGAAGAAAAGGTCCATCAGTTTGTCATGGGGTTAGATCAAACTCGTTATGGTGGCATGTGTCAAGGCATCATCTCATCTGATTCTACTCTGGATATTGGTGAAGTTTATGCCAAGTTGATTGTTGGTGTCAAAAATCGTAATCTCGAAATCAACATCTACGATAACTTCTGTAAAGATAAAATCATTACTTTCCACGGAATACAAAAATCGTTTTATAAAACTCGAGAAATCGTTTTATAAAACTCGAAAAGTCGTTTTATAAAAGAAGTTTCCGAACAAAGGAAATCCGCGGAAAACTCGAAAGATCGTAATCTTGGAAGAACGAAACAAACGTCGATTACGCGATCGTCCGAGTTAAGCACAAAACCGCGAAAAACCGAAACCACCGTAAAACTCCCCGGGTAGCGCGCCGTACGTCGAGCCGACCATCCCGAGCCTCGATCTCCCAAGTCCCAGATTCAAGGCTTACGTCCTTTGACACGATCATGTCCCGAACCACGGTCGAAATATCCCCCGTTTCGTCTCAATCCAACTTACCGTTCGAGTTTTACTATTAAAACCGTAAAACTTTGTTTTCTCGAAAAGAACTCGAGGAAATCGTATAAAACGGAAACGTTGAAACGAAACACCAAACATTGCCTAAACTATACGATTTATTCGAGATTTTTCATAAAAATTGTAAAAAACTCGTTTCTAGTAAAAAACGTCGAGTGAATCGTAAAAACGGAAACGATTAACAGAAAACGAATGTAGCTAAACTTTACGATTAACTCGAGGAATTTACTAAAAACGGCATCGGATCAGGAAACGATCTCGTATAAAGTCGCAAAACGGATTTATCGCAAAACGGTTCGGAAGGTCCTAAAACACTATAAAAAGCCCATCTCGCGATCTTAACGAAATCTAACCCGAAGATACGATAACGTTTTGACGATTTACCCGCGAAGGAAGATAAATGTCAAGTTTAAAGATAAATGTGAAGTTTGAAGATAAATGGAAGATTTCTGCGGTAAAAAAGGAAAGATAAACACAAAAAGAAGATTCTCGATAAACTCGAATCTGAGCGAAATGGAAGGACCAAACCGCCAAGGAAGGAAGTATATAAGCAAGAGGCATAATGCAGAAGCAGGACACGAAAAATCAGACCTAGAGAGGCGGTTGTTAGCTTAGAAATTTAGGACTTAGCGTTTAGACTAGCAAGCCAGATCCTTAGAACGTTTCGACGTCTAAGTTCTGCAATT